AGCTGACTGCTAGTAACAATTCCTGGAAGGTAAATGCAAATAAAAAAGAAAGTTGACATTTTTTTCAGTGTTACATTTTGCACTGCACTGAATCCTATGTGATGCAATAAAAATAAAAATGTATTAATGGTATATTTTAAGATGGAACCTAAATATATAAAATTTGAAAAAAAAAACTTCACAAGAAAGCAAGAAAGAAGACAATTACCTATAAGAAGGATGATAAAAATATGAAACCTATCCATGTGTAATGATGACCAGGAGTTGAAAGACAAAAAGTCAAACAGTTCTAACTCACATTCATAACCTGCGCAGATTTTTCCATTAAAGGAAATGTAAGCGGTGACAGGCTTGTTCAATGGAACCTTTTCTTCCGTGGTTGTTTTCTATTGGTGTGATGCTACATGATAGTGTAGATCAACTTAGATCTCCTCAGAAGAAACTTTTGGAAACGGAGATGTTACAATTTACACTTTAAAGTTTTACTCTATGTGTTTGGGTAGCGATGTAATGAATACCTAGACTAAAGGTATATACCTACAGGTAAATAGTCGTAGTTAGTATGGTGTATTTGGTGCATTATTTGCAATTGGCTGGATTATGACCAAGACTTTTCAAGATAAACCCCGTACAATAACTACTTGCAGATACAAATAATTTCCTGAAAAACACTGACGCAATTATAATTTTATATGAAAGCAAGTAGGATATCACAAATTTATCACACAATATTATACCTATGCATGATGAAGCAATTAGAAGTTCCTGGAATTGTGGCATTTAACTATCACATGCTGTCAACATAAAAAGTTTTTAAATGTACTTGCAACATATCAATTGTGTATATATACAGTATTATTTAAAACAATCAGTTACGATTTGTTGAATTGGAGTGAGTTAAGATCAGAGTTAACTTGTTGTGCCTATCCTTGTTGCTGCTTTTGCAAAGGCACAGTTTGGGTAGCAACAAGCTTCCACATCTTCTATGCGGTGTTTATCTCCTTCATTCGTCTCAGTACTTGGAGGCACTTTCATGGCCTGCAAGGGGTCTGATAACAGTTTCTTATTTTCCCTTTGGGTGATGAGAGCCGTAAAGTAAATACTGATGGTTGTGAGTGGATTTCATGTAAACTCCATTCTTGTTTGATGTGCATTGCTCAGTCTACGAAAGCCAGTCTATTGTCTCTCATGCCTCCCATGTGAACTGGATGTTGTCTTTACTAAGCTAGGCTTGCACATAATTTTGACCGAAGTGTCATCCATGCTCTGAAATAATGGTTACATGTTGTTTCATTGAAGGTGTCCAGGCTCTCCACTTCTGCTATGCAGAGGTTAGGCACAATGCAGCTTTGCTTCTGTCTGTAGAAACCATTGTTTTATCTGAAGTAGGTGGTGTTTAAGCAGAAGTCGAGCAGGGCACGTACCTGATCTTGGCTGAAGCTGGTTCTGTTGCCTAGGTTGTTATCCTCTTGCAGATATTTCATTTCAGTCTCCACTGCCTATGTACAGGAAATACATATGAGAAGAAAAAAAGAGAAAAAGTTAAGTGTTTATTTACATTTAACCAAAACCATGATCTTTCCCAAACCTTAAAGTGTTTTTTTTTTTTTTTAGATAGATATGTATGTATAGATATCCCCAAGGGCAAATTCATGGAATGTGTTGACTAAACCTAACTGCAGACGGGACTGTGGATGCAAACCCCATTCAGTTTGTATACCCACGATCCACCACAACCACCTCTTGGGGACTCTGCTGGCTGTTCCTTTATACATGTACTGTAGCTCGTCATTCATTCAAGAAATATATTGCCACTCAATGGATGATTTATCAAATTGATTGCTGCATTTACTTTGCCAAAAAGTATAACGTATTCTCTGGTTTTAGAGAGAGAGAGATATGATCAGTAGTCGGCCAATCATATGAGTGCTCTCAGCTCTCTACTTTTATTGCCTTTATTTCAAAATAAGATTACACTGTTATGTAAGGTAATTTCATCCAAGAATAATAATAAGGAGAACAAAGTTGACTGGACAATAACTACTAAGAACTAACATGATCATTTAAGCCGGCTCATGTAAAGATAACCTGGATAAGTTATGCAATGTTCGCAAAACAGGACACAGGACTTTATTCTGTTGTGTGTAGTTTAATGTGGTGTTGAAGTATGCCTTCTGTTCACATCATAAGATAACGTTCAAGTAATGAACAGTGAACAAGGTGAATCCATGCACCAAGACGTACAGCAGCCCACTACTGTGCTACTTCAGTCCGCTTTCATGAGGGGCTGTTTGTCAGTGTGGGTTTCCTGTGGGCCTAATCACATGGGCTATACAGTGTGGTTCAGGTACACTTTCTTGTCACTCTGTATTGTGCTGGAACTTCTTAGAGGAAGAATAACCTCAAGGCTGACAATAATAGCTACCAAATTATGTCCTGATATAACTGATGCAACCAGTGAAACTCTTCATCTGTCCTGTTTATATGCTGGTTTCACTGCTGGCTTCATGGACTGCTAAATACTGCACATGTATATTTTTTCAGAAAACCTGACACTGATAAAATAGTTTATTATCAAACACCAACTAAACTGTATTTCATATATAGACATTTTCAGATATATCATTGCGATTGGTGGTATTGATTGGTTCTCTGCAGGAGAAACTAAATGACAGAATGTTCTACAAGTATCAGAACAAATTAATTCAGTGAACAATTTCTAATGTTAGTGTAAAGTCTACAGGTGTTGATGGCAGAATAAGTGGCGAAGTCTGAACTCACTGTGTTTTCTCCTTTGGTGTTGTGTGATGTCCTACGGATTTCCAGAGCACTATAACACACATTTTCCTAAGATTTGCCATATATATTCACATATATTATGAACATGTAGTCCTCAATAAACCTTACCCAGGAGAACGTAATTCCTCAGCAAGAACTTCATGAATACACCTTCAGACCTTAAGCTGACACTGAAGGATTAAATAACATGTTTTTAGATGGCAGAACACTGTAACTTCCAATTGGGGGCTGAATCCTCATGTCTACTGTAGTGCTTTTGTGTACTGCAGAGTATAATTAGTCTGGATTTATTAGAGACATCATTTTTTTCTTATCCATATAAACCTGAAGTAGACAACCTTCCAAAAAACACAAAGCTATGGGATAAAACCATGTTTGCAGAGTGGCATCCTTTTCTGGGGCTCTGATAGAAGACTCCACAGACTTCACATCTTCAGCAAGTTATCATTTTGAAAGATAATAGAGGATTAGATTAGCAACTGCAAAAGATAGTGAGACGAGAAGAAGTGAGGATGAGTCAATGGAAAGATGGTCCACTAGAGGGTGCAAAGAACAAAAAAACTATTTACCACTGATTCAGTGTGTACCCAAGTGTGTAACAGAGAAGGCCCATACACACATACAAATGTGTGATATGCTCAGCAATCACTGTTGCTGAATGAGAACAACAACCTGCTGTTGATAAAAGAAATTTGGTTTATTCCTGTGTTTGTGCTGACTAAAAACATGGATAATGTATTTTCATATTAAACACACAGTATGTAACTTCTGCCGCAAGGGATCTCTCAATCAAAACAATTGCAAAAGGCAATGTTGGGTGACATTATGAAATTGTGTTGGATCATGGGAGTTTTTGTCTTCACCACCACTGCTGTAAGTTTCTCCCAGTTTATATTCCTACAGTGTCAATTGTTCAGGAGGCCTTTACGGCGAGCTGAATTACCAGGTCTCCTCTCCAGATCAGACCTGGTGATTATAAAAACACAGAATAAAGCTGTTTCACATTTAAAGTCAGTTTTTTGTCGATGCTGTATGGTAGACATGAGGCGTCAGGGAAGGGTTGGAAGGTGCAACTGCTGCTAATCTTTGTTTCGATTGTGTCTCTGATAACTTATGATCCAGACGTTCAGCAGCAGAATTATCAGAAGAGGTGTCCTCCTCTCCATAGCAAATGAACCAGGGGATTAAAACCAGTAGAAACACAGAACAAAGAAGTTTCACTTTAAAAATCAGTGATTCACCGACTCTCTTCGGCAGACACAAGACATCTCGCTTATCTTTGTTTCTTTGATAACTTATGAACCAGACCTCAGATGACTAAAATCCTTCATTCGGTTAAAATATATAGTTGAAAACAACCAAGGTGTAAAAAATGTATGTAGCTTAAAACTAGATGAAAGTCAATTTTGAACTAGCAGGCAACCACAATGCCAGCATGCACATAGGGGATATGACGTCATTGACAAGTGACCAAATAAAACTGACCTTACCATGATTATGGTTTGACAAACATTTGTAAAATGTAAGTGCACAACTCAAAAAAACAAACAAACAAACAAACAAAAAACACAGGTCTAGTAATTTTTAGACATTTTAATGTGTAAAAGTTACATCATATAACTTCAAAAATACACTGTCAACATCTTTTTACTTCCAGGTTTTGAAACCTCCTGTGAGTCTAACAGCCATCATCAGCCAACAATATGTTCACTGTATCAACTTTACAAGGTGATAATATGTCAGTGTTGTGTTTACAGCTTGTTGCGTTGTCTCCAACAGGTCAAAAAAGTAAGCTGATGCAAGTTTAGGATGACCTCACTGACACTGGTATCTTTGCATGAAACAACAAGCAAGCAAGCAAATCACACTTAGTATGTGCACAGAAAGTGTGTGTTATCTGTGGTTTGGTGTGGTGTGTGTATGCTTGTATATACTTTTCCACTATTAAACGATGAACACAGTGCAGCGGTGCCCCAACACCTTCAGCAGGCTGCTCATAAACATCCTCAACTTACATGTTGAGCTCTGCAGTGGCTTTCCTGTGAGCCTGACCACATGGGCTACATGATAGTTGAGGTTAGCTTTGCTGTCAACGCTGTATTGTCACAGTGCAGACGAATAAAACTTCTCTATTTTCTCTATTACATATTATAATAAACATATATATTATAATAATACATTATATTATTAAATTACCATCATCAAAATGAATACAAAACAGGATACTTTTTTAAAAGTAGTCAGAATTCTGTCACTGTTGTCCTTGCTGTGTGCTTCTTTGAGTTATTACCACACTTCAATCTTTACCTCAGTTTGAGCCCAAGTGTACGCTGGAGCAGGTCTTCTACAAGAAATATCTCTTCAACAATAGTTTGGTGCATATTTTCCTCAGTTATTTCTTTTAAATTTGCATCAACTGTGTCAATGATCTTGAGGAGAAATAAGCAAGTATCGGGAATGGGGGACTCATGTTATGGTAACAGTTTTTAAATTGTGAGGTGCAGGTTTTTCAAGCATTGTCCCACTTTAGAATAATAACAACCGAATACATGCAGGGAGATAAACATTTTGAATGTTTCACAATGATTTCACATTTGTGTAGTATCTTATTGTGAAATTTTTGTTTAAACATCTGATTGTATTCAATACCCATCAGAAGAGAGTGACATATTTTTGAACATGTCTTGAGCTTGTGTTAACCACAGAACTTATTTCAGTCATCTAACCAAAAACCCATTAAAAAAACATATTGACTTCGGGACGGGGGTACCTGAGGTGCTAAAATGCAAACTAATTTTCAGACTCATTCCTGTGACACTAATGGGAGAAAAACAGACTGTGTTTGTAGTTGGCTTTATATTGTTGCTCAAATGTACAGAAGGATTTGAATAATACAATGGTTTATGAATACCACTAGTGATTAATTCATTATACCATTTTCTAATATAAAATTGTTAGGTCCTGGTTCTGATGGCAGAATAGGTGCTGAAGTCTGAAGTCTGGGTTTTCTTCTTCTTTGGTCTCTCTGATGTCTGACGGATTTCAAGGGCAGCATAACACAAGTTTTCATCCTAAAATGTAACATTGATCATTTAGAAAATTGATCATTACTGATTTAATATTATGATATGCTGTAATACACTGTAGCCTACATGCTAAGCAACATACTTTTATCACACTAGACATATTGATTTTTCATATTTGATAAAGCATAGGCCATTATTGATATCTTAATAATTATTATTTTAGCTCATTATTAGGAGACAAGGTTGATAGCTATTCCAAACATATTTTTGTTTCTAATATTAAAATGTTTCATATGAGAAAGATCTATACGTAAGATAAAACATTTAAATTACCTGGTTGTCTCTAGGTATAGACCTCCTGGTGTCAGATCTTTTCTTGTCAGCTTGAGGTTCTTTAGCTGCAAAAATGAATAAAGCATCATAATAACACAACACACAATACCTTTAAGAGGAGGAAATTGTCTGAAGCCAGTTTCATTCTCGTTTGATAAAAAAATATGATAGTGAAATAAATTCCACATTAACAAGTTCATCTTAACTAGAATATGTAAAGAAAAGATAATCTAATCATCAAAACGATACAGTAAATTGAGAAAAGAAGGATTGAGTTTAGTACATGGCAGATACCTTTTCTCAGACTGAGGTGATAAAGTAAGAGTAAGGAGAAGAGAGACGAGACAACAGCAACAGCTGGACACAGAGAGAACAGCAGTGTCCAGCACACACCACAGTCTTGTGGAGTCTCACAGTGATGAGGTTGACTGGTGTCTAGATCAAAAACAAGTTTTGTCGATTAGCATGAAGACTGCATCTTTGTGACTGAGCTCATCAAACTGCTTTTGTGTCCATTGATTGAAAATTGATCATTTTAAACCCACATATATACACTGATCATGCTGTAAAAATGAAAGATGGTAACTTTTTCACATTTTTATATTCATCCCATAATTAATTTGAACCCGGCTTTACATTTCCATGACATTTTCCATTTTGTAACTGTTCTAATGATTTACAGTATGTGGTATAGGCAGTATTGTATGGTGGACTGGCTATGGCTCACATGTGTGATGATCAATTTGTGAGACACTGAAATTATTTGTATTTATAATTTACAGATCAAAATAACTTAGACCAGAGTACTTACTAAGCAGGATCCTTGTGACATTACCATATCTGTAAATACTTCTAGTTGAAACTTTGTCATCCACCTTGGTCTGTTCAGCTCCACAGTAGTAGAGGCCCTCATCAGAATCGGTGATGTTCATGATCAGGAGGTCATAGGAATCCGACGACTGGTTTTTCGCCAAATGAAAATGAGGGCCATGATTCTTAACATTGGAATCAATCATCGAATTGCGTTCCAGCTTTAGAACAAGAGATGGCTGGTTCTCATGAGAACAGTTCCTGAACCATGCTATTTTGTATACTCCACTCGATAGTTTCCAGTCACAGTAAAGCGTGATGTTGTCTCCTGGTGTGACTGTCACCACAGATGCTGATCCAGAGATCCATTCATGACTGGAGATAACAACTCCTGGAATACGAACATGATTACAAAAGCAGGTTAACATGTGACCGATGTTATAGGATTCCACATTATGTCAAATGCAGGTTCCTGCTAAGCAGAACAACACGAGAATCTTCTGTGTGAAACAATTTGAACAATTATAATTAAACTTTTTTAAAAAGTTAAGCGAAAGAATTACCGAAGAGACTGAACAGAAAAAGACACAGCATGTCCTTGATGATGATGACCTGAAATTGAAATGCAACGACATCCGTTTCCCTCACTGATGTTACTTATAACCTGCGCAGATATTTCCATTAAAGGAAATGTAAGCTGTGATTGGCCAGTTGAATGGAACATTTTCTTCTGTGGTTGTTTTCTGTTGTTGTGAAGCTGCGTGGTGATCTTACCATTACTGTGAGAATTAAACATTATCTCAAGTGAACCTACTGAACCTCCATCTGAGGTGGGAAAGGGTCTACACTGAGCCATACAAAATATACAGTAGCATTTTCTGCCTGAAAAGTGCATTTTATCTTGGACAATGAAGAAAACTGTAAATTGTTAAGCCTGCAACAGATGTGATCAGAAGAAGGAAAAACTACAAACCTACAATTCCATATTAACTTGGCAAGCTCCATCTGCTTTAGAAGATCATCTCTCTCTCAAGTTAAATCGAAGGCAACTGGACTTGTATTTGTCTGTGGAAGACGTTTCGCCTCTTATCCAAGCGGCTTCATCAGTTCTTATGTATTGGTCTCTCTAGTCTGCACTAGCACTAGCCTCCGGATAAGAGGCGAAACGTCTTCCACAGACAAATACAAGTCCAGTTGCCTTCGATTTAACTTGAGAGAGAGATAACATGACCTGGACAAATGAGAACATTCACAGACAGATTTAGAAGATCATGTGATCCAATCCAAGCCTCCAGAGATTGTTTTGACAAATGAAACAATGCCATTCCGATTTCCACAGTGAATTTGAAATCTTATGTCTTAATCATGACTGTAGAATGTTCCTTTTGTTTTTGTTTTTTTGTGGAGATGTCAGATTTTCACTCCAGCATTGTCTTCTGTCTCACCAGCATCATGATTGAGTTACCATACATGCTGTGTATAATGCATGCATATCTGGAGACTGCACTCTGAGGAAGACATTAACCTGATGATAATGAGGTTAATGATACTTGAATATGCCTAAAATAGACATGCAGATAAGGAAATTTGGTTACACATTCAAGATGAGTTGTAGCACTTAAGACACAAGAGGTCTCTTGTATTACAGGAGTCCCTTGTAATTACTATTAGAGTATGATACAGTATGTAATTCCAGGCTGGCAGATGCTATTTTCAGATATACTGTATGTTGTATGTAGAAATTTTTTTTGTTGGATCTAGCAGCACAATGGTTTGGATCCTTTCATACTTAATATCAGAGCATATTAATATAAGAGCACACTGTTAGTGGGTAGTAATTTTTTGGTCAAATAGTAACATCCACTGCATAGAGACATTATAAACATACATGTAAAAGGAGGTGAACATCTCTGTCTACAGTTGTAATCTTTCGCAGACTTTTTTTGGGATTGTTGTGGGCTAAAATATCTGATTTTGTGGCAGCTTTTCTTAAAAACAGCGATGAAATTTGCAATATTTTTATGTTATCTCGGTTTATTTGCAATGAAACTAGTATGTCTGAGTTCAAATTCCTGGCCTCGGTCCTTTCTGTATAGAGTTTTCATGTTCTCGCTGTACCTGTGTGAGTTCTCTTTGGGTACTCCAGCTTCCTCCCACAGTCCAAAGACATGCACATTAAGTAATTTGTCAGATGTAATGGCTTAATATACTATGACTTTTTTATGACTTACTATACAATGACTGCTTCTTGCCTTTCTATTCTATGGCTTCTTATGCCATATTATACTTTGAATTTTTTATGACATGTCTTACTATGACAATTTTATGACTTACTGCACTATGACTTGTTTATGCCTTACCATACTTTGAATTTTTATGGCTTACTATACCATTGCTTTTTTAAGCATTACTATACTATGACATTTTTATGACATTTTCTATGCCTTACTGTAAAGTTTTTTTGTGCTTTACTATACTATAACATTTTTTTTATGTTTTTTTTTTTCCTTACTTTACGATGACGTTTCAACGTTTTTGTGACATTTTTTTATGCCTTACTATACTGTGATGTTTTCTATGCCTCACTGTACTTTGACGTTTTTATAACTGTTTATGCCTTACGAAACTATGACATTTTTAAGCCTTACTATACTATGTCGTTTTCATGACTTTTGATGCCTTAATATACTATAACATTTCAATGACTCTTTATTCCTTACTATACTATGACGTTCATATGCCTTACTATAATATGATGTTTTTATGCCTTAATATGCCTCACTATACTATGATGTTTTTATAACTTTCTCTACTGTGAATTTTTATGCCTTACTATACTATGACGTTTGATGACGTTTTTGAACCTTATTATACTGTGATGTTTTTATGCCTTGATATACTACAATGTTTTTAAACCTTATTAAACTATGTTGTTTTTATGACTTTCTATGCCTTACTATACTATGCCTTTTTTATGACTTTATGCTTTTCTATACTATGACGTTTTTATTCCTTAGTATACTAATGACGTTTTTATGCCTTACTCCTATGTCGTTTTTATGACCGTTTTATGACATTTATGCCTCTCTATACTATGACATTTTATGCTTTACTATACTATGGCGTTTTTATCACTTTGTGCCTTACTATACTATATTTTTATGCCTTTCTATACCATGACGTTTTATACGATGACGATATTATGCCTTACTATATTATGTCATTTTTTGAGTTTTTATGCCTTACTATACTACTATAGCATTTTTATCACTTTATGCCTTACTATACTGTGATGTTTTTATGCCTTACTATACTATGACATTTTTATGCCTTACTACTATATCGTTTTTATGACTTTTTATGCCTTTCCAAACCATGACATTTTTATACCTTACTATACTATGTTGTTTTTTGATTTTTTATGCCATACTATACCACGTTATTTTGTGACTTTTTTATGCCTTACTATATTATCAAATTTTTATGACTTTCTATACCTTACTATGCTATGACTTTTTATGCCTTACTATACTATGATGTTTTTTTACATTACTATACTATGACGTTTTTTATGCCTTACTATACTATTTCGTTTTCCGACTTTTTATGCCATACTATGCTATGACGTTTTTATACTTTACTATGACATAGGTGGAACGGTACCGGCTAGATATAGTTGGCCTCACCTCAACACACAGCGTCGCCCCCGGAACCCAAGTCCTTGAGAGGGGCTGGTCTTTCCTCTTTGCTGGAGTTGCTCCGGGGGAGAAGCGGAGGGCCGGGGTGGGCTTTTTGGTGGCCCCCAGGCTCTCTGCCTGTATGTTGGGGTTCACCCAGGTGGACGAAAGGGTTGCGTCTCTGCGCCTCCAAGTCAGGGATCGGGTTCTGACTGTTGTCGGTGCTTATGCGCCGAACAGCAGTTCAGACTACCCGCCCTTTTTGGAGTCCTTGGGACGGGTGCTGGAAAGTGCCCCGAAAGGGGACTCCATTGTCCTATTGGGAGACTTCAACGCTCACGTGGGCAATGACAGCGTGACCTGGAGGGGTGTGGTGGGGAGGAACGGCCTGCCCGATCTGAACCCGAGTGGTGTTCAGTTATTGGACTTCTGTGCTAGTCACAGTTTGGCCATAACTAACACCATGTTCAAACATAAGGATGTCCACAGGTGCACATGGCACCAGGACACCCTAGGTCGCCGGTCTATGATTGACTTTGTAGTCGTATGATCAGACCTGCGGCCGTATGTTTTGGACACTCGGGTGAAGAGCGGAGCAGAGTTGTCAACTGACCACCACCTGGTGGTGAGTTGGATCAGATGGCAGGGGAAGACGCCGCACAGACCTGGCAGGCCCAAACGGGTTGTGAGGGTCTGCTGGGAAAACCTGGCGGAAGAACCCGTCAAGATGATTTTCAACTCACGCCTCCGGCAGAGTTTCGATCATGTCCTGAGAGCAGTGGGGGACATTGAGTCCGAATGGGCCTTGTTCTGCTCTGCTGTTGTTGAGGCGGCTGTTGCGAACTGCGACCGCAGGGTAGCAGGGGCCAGTCATGGCGGTAACCCCCGTACCCGCTGGTGGACACCAGGGGTGGGGGAAGTCGTCAGGCTGAAGAAGGAGGCCTACAGGGCGTGGTTGGCCTGTGGGTCTCTGGAATCAGCTGACTGGGGCGAAAACTCGGGCGTGGGAGGAGTTCGGTGAGACTATGGAGGAAGACTATCGATCAGCTCCAAAAAGGTTCTGGCGAACCATCCGGCGCCTCGGGGGGAAGGCGGCAACTCGCTCACACTGTTTACTTTGACTTTTTTGCCTATGACGTTTTTATGAGTTTTTATGCCTTACCATACTATGACGTTTTTATGACTTTTTATGCCCTACTATACGATGACATTTTATGCCTTACTATACTATGTCATTTTTATGACTTTATACGTTACTATACTTTATCGTTTTTATGACTTTTTAAGCCTTACTATACTATGACTTTTTATGCTTTACTATACTATGTCATTTTTATGATTTTTTATGACTTTCTGTACTATCTCATTTTGATGACTTTTTATGCCTTACTATACTATGACTTTTTATGCCTCACTATACTATGACTTTTTTATGACTTTTTATGCCTTACTATACTATGATTTTTTATGACTTTTTATGCCTATGACCTTTTTATGACTTTTTATGCTTAGGACGTTTTTATGACTTTTTATGCCTATGACTTTTTATGACTTTTTTGCCTATGACGTTTTTATGAGTTTTTATGCCTTACCATACTATGACGTTTTTATGACTTTTTATGCCCTACTATACGATGACATTTTATGCCTTACTATACTATGTCATTTTTATGACTTTATACGTTACTATACTTTATCGTTTTTATGACTTTTTAAGCCTTACTATACTATGACTTTTTATGCTTTACTATACTATGTCATTTTTATGATTTTTTATGACTTTCTATACTATCTCATTTTGATGACTTTTTATGCCTTACTATACTATGACTTTTTATGCCTCACTATACTATGACTTTTTTATGACTTTTTATGCCTTACTATACTATGACTTTTTATGCCTTACTATAGAATGATTTTA